GGAGGAGACAGTTGGGGCAGTTGTCTTTAGAAGAAAGAATGACTTACTACTCTTTTCCGATCAATTACAAAATCCTTTACAGAGCCTGCATCTTATTATTATTGTACACATTTTTAGATGTGTAAATATATGCACCCTCCCCCAAAAGAAACAAAAGAGAAATAACAAGGCAGACAATTTCTTTAGAAAAGGTGTGATTTTAAAAAAAAAAAAGCGAGAGAAAGCAGAGGAGCTTGTTTGCAGAAACATGTAGATCTATTTTTTGCAGTTAAAGCTCACTCATTGTTTTCTTTTTCCTAGATTCACTTTGAATTTCAGTTTTGAGTGAGTGTGAATAAGAAATAGTCAGATCAAAACTGCTATCTGGCAGATTGCTTGTGTTGAAGTCTTAAGTCAGCCCAGGTTTGGAAACTGTAGTGAACCTTGGTGCTTGTCACAAAGAGTGGACTCAGAAGAGCTTTTATAGAAATGTCTCCCAGCTCTTTAATACCCTTACATTTTTTTTTCTTGCGGTTTCTACTGTGGTTTACCAACTACTGTGAATGCTTTCATGTTATACTCCCTCTCTCCACTGAAACTTTCCCTTACTTATGATATTAGTAGTCTGGTGCCTACTGGAGTTATTTTCCCTTTTCATATGCCCGTTGTCCTGCTTAGTTTTATTATCTGCTCCCCCACCCCTCTCTATATTAAACTGCATAAACCACATGCCCATGTCTGTGTTTTTGTTTATTTAGAGTATTGGTTCTTGCACTGATGCTCTTATCACAAGGGACACTTGAAAACCTCAGTTGCCCCAAAATTGTGGATACTGCAGTTTTGGCATCTTTCTAAAGAATAAAAAAGCTTATTTTTGCAGGTTACCAAGTTTTCATTAAAAAACATATATCCTCATATTTTTTTTCTCCTTTCCCCTGTATTGCTAAGGTGGCCTTAGACTAAGTAAGATAATATCCTGTTTTCTTTTTAAAGGTGAGCTGAAAAACTAAGGTGGAACCTGAGTTTGATTTATGTGTTGAGTGTGTCCCACCAACCAGTCTGGGGGGGAATTCATCATGCAGAAAAGATATAGATAGCCTTTTCTGAACTGAGGTTTACTCTTTGTTGAACTCCTGCAGCTCCTGGTATGCTGACACCAACTCAGAATACATCAGAGTCGCATTGCAGATACTCCAGTATCAACCTCCCAAACCAGTAGACAATGTTGTATTGGATCAGTTTTACTTTATAGCTAGTGTCACCACCTGTACCTAAAGAAGCTGCATATCAACTTTTGAGCTCAGGATTGTCTATGTCACACAGGACTTGCAAAGATAGCAAAGGACTTGTTTTGGTGAGTAGATTTGCTTAGGAAAGGCAAGTTGTGTTTTGTATGTATGAGCGTGTATGTGTATAAGATGATATATCTAGCTTTCTTGATGCCTATTTCTATCGTCTTTTCAAGCATGCAGTTGGAGGAATCTTAATGCAGTCCAACACAAAGCAGCTAAAATAGGGTCATAGAGAAGGGAGTAAATGCCAGCATTTCCTAATTTTGCAGTGCTTAACTTTGCAAGCTCAATGATCTTCTAATTTGCTTTTGTATGAAATTTACTGAAGTAAAAATAATACAAAGCAAACAAAAAACCAACCTTGCTTCCCAAATTAAATTACACTGTACCGCATTGACACCTGTGTCATTCTGACAAGTTTAGTCATTAAAACTACAGACAGCCTTCATATGGACTAATAGAGTAACTAGTCATGAAACAGGGGATTATTTTCATCCCTGAAAGAAATCAAACTCACAGTTTCCTCATTTCTTCCTCAAAAAGGATGAATGCACAGCTATTGGTCAGTTCTGGAAGGGAATCACCCCTGCTTAAAACAGGTTCTCTATTGCCCCCATCCCTATGGTTTCAGCTTGTCTGCTTTTATATTTGTCCACTAGTCTTATTTTCATCTTCCTCACCACTGTTTGTGGCAGTTTTGTCCAGAAAATTGCCATAATCTTCATCAGGATTTTACTTCTCTTCTCTTCTGGTAACTGTGCCCCTCTGCTTTACCTGCTTATTTTCCTCCCTCTAATCTCATCACCAGCTTCAGAGTTGGAATTCTTACTCCTCTATCCAAATGTGGGTAGGAGGGAGAAGAATGGAATCACTTCCAGGTCCCTATGCATGAGATTCCTGTTTTCACCCCTGGGTCCAGGTGATGTTAGTTTGTTTGCGTGCTCTCAGTTTGCAAACCAACACCTTAATAATTTTCTCTTATCTCTCCCATTTCTCACTGCTCTGTATTTCACTATATCTCATTGCCCTTGAGTTAGTCCGAGCCCTGCAGAAGCACAGATACTAGCCTTTTTTCTGACTGATCTGACCTTATGAAAAGCATTTTCAGGCAGTCAAGAGGAAGGGCTGGAGCAGGAGGCAGCTCAAATGTGGTCCACCAATTTATAAAGCTAATACATGCAAACATGGAGGTCCCGTGCTGGGAAGGAAACATGCCCAATTCACAGGGAATTACCAGAGAATGTAGCTGATAAGCTGACAAGTATCACCAAAATATTTTTCTTTATTTGTCTGTTGGCTTGCTTTTTGCACAAGGAAATTATTTTATAAGTTTTGGAAAAGAACTAAGCCTGAAGCAGATGAACAGAAGAACAAATGGAGATTGAAAGTAAAACTTTGAAGAAAAATGAAAACCTTGAGCATATGCATGGTTAGCAGCTTTTCCTACAATACATACAGTAAATACCACCCAGTGCAACTTATCTGAATTAGCGACTTAGTACATTTTTTTTAACAAGACTGAACATCTTAAACATCTGTATGAGCTGACATTTTTAACGTCCTTGTACTTTTCTGCACAAACAGTGGATAAAAAATGAACTGAAACCTTCAATCCCTCATGCCTTTTTTTCCCCCTGTACCTTAAAAATATCCACTTGATATTTAAATAAAATAAAATTAGATAAATAAGTTCAGTTGTAATGACAATGTGATGTAGATTGTTTGTGCCGAATTCAAGCTTAGTAGGAAATTATTTTCCCCTTGCTGGAAGAATTATACACTAATTAACCCTCTGGAAATAAGTGTTTAAAATGGAACGTACATTAGAAATTTAAAGAAACATTTTTACATAGCTTATCTTAGTTTATTTTTTTAATGTGTAAAAATGTTTGAGGATTACTTCATTTTTATTTCTCTCTTCATCCCTCCTCCCTCCTCCTGCCCCATGTAGGCCAAATTCTGCCAGGCAGATTAACACAGACTCAATAGGCCAAATTCCAGTGTGATTTAAATAGGAGGTAAATTGGCAATATAAACAAGCGTAATTTACATACTGAGTGTTAAGAGCTAGTTGAAAGAATTGCATGAAGGAAGTCACTCGCAGTGCATATCAGGGTTTTATTAGTCCAGCAGATCCTGGAAACTATGCCATATAGCACTGAATGCCATCTAATGGTTTTGTATATATTAATATTAATAAGGTCATAGCTTATAAAGTAATCCAATAAGAGTAGAAAGGGAAAAGTAAACTCCAGAGTTTGTTTTTCTTAATTTTCTCATCTTCAGATTGTAGAGAAATGTGTCTGTTTTCCTATTTATGTGGGTCTAGTCCTATCCGATATTTTTCTTAATGAGTATGTTTGTTAAATATGTAGATGACATCAGAACAGGAGGGACAGCAAATGTTTTACAGCACATGATTACAGTTCAAAGTTAACTTGAATTTGAGATAAGAGCTCAAAAAAGGAACTCTCCTCAATAGAAGCAAATACAATTTTTAATATATAAAGCCAACAATTGTGAAAATACAGGATGGAAATCTCTCGCTCGGCTAGCAGAACAACAGAAAAAAAAAAAAGTCATGACTTTTTCATGGATCATTAGATGAATATAGCCGGTGATATGACATTGCCATAATAGAGGTAAACATTATGCTGAGATGCATAATTGAAGGTCATCACTACAAAACCTGCTCTGCTTTGGGCCTCAGCAAGAACATTGTCCAGTTTACATGCTGCCTTTCAGGATAAAGAGGGGAGAATTAGCAAGAACAGAGGGAAGGCCAGCAATCAGAGGTCTAAAAACCATCGCCTAGGAGAAAAGATTGAATGGATGTTGCTCAGCCTAAAGGCATAGTGAGGGAGGACATGATCACAGTCTTCAAAGAAAGTAATAACCTTTATTTTTCATTGTCCTGATATACTGAAAAAGACAGAAAGGTTTTAAAATCCAACAGGGAAAATTTACTTTACATATTAGGAAAAGCTCTTGACAGTGAGGCTAGAGAAGCAATAGGAAAGGTTGTCTGTGGAAGCTGTGCAGTGTCTACCTTTGACAGCCCTCGAGATGAGATTAGAGAAATATCTGTAAGGAGCGACAGTGACAGCCAGCCAGGCGTGGGAACAGAAGGTGGACTTCCATCCTCGGGAGGCCCGAGAGGCCTCCTCCTGCCAGGGAGAAATGTCTCAAATTCCAGGAGATTCTGTGATGTTACGGGCAATGACAAGAAGTCATCTGTGCTACCGCACGTTTGAATAGCTAAATGGAAGTGCGATGTTGCCTGTGACAAGTTATTTGCTTACCATTATTGTTCATGGTCCAGAGAGGGTTGAAGAGTGTGTCCTTAAGCAGCCGTGATGAATACTTTTATTATCTCTAATCCATATTTTATAGTGACTTATCTCATTCTACAGTGCTACATGCAGGAGAGATGAGACAGATAAGAATATTATAGCCCATATTCATCACGCTTTTTTTCATGTGCTTGGAGAATAACGTCATACGGTAGTCAATGGAAAATAATAGTCTCCATCAGAAATTAACTCGGACTTTAGGGGCATTGAATCATTGGAAAGAGGTGCTTATCTCTTCCTACTGACTAGAGAGGGAACCTGAGATGGAGAGGATCCTGATTCAAGTTCTTGAGTAGTTATCTATAATGTATATATCTATAAAATACACAAGCACCTGAAGGATGCCCTCTTCATAGATCAGTGGAGCGAGCTCTTCATGGATGTGCTGAGCCCCTTCCACTTCATCCTGGTCAGCACTGTATGGATGCAAGGTGTGATCTACTGGTATTTGCCAAGTACTACCACCTCCCCTTCCTGCAGGACGTCCAGACAGACTGCACGAGGACGGGGCTGGGAGGCTACTGGGGCAAAAAGGGTGGGGTGAGTGTTCGTCTCTCCATCTTCGGCCACATCGTCTGCTTCCTGAACAAGGAGGCCTTTCCCACCATACTGCATATGCAGCAGTTCAAGGGGCGTGTGGCCAGCGGCATCCTGGACCATGACCTTGTGTTCTGGTTTGGGGACCTCAACTTCCGCATCAAGAGCCTAGACATCCGCTTTGTGAAGTACGTCATCGACAGCAACAGCCTGAGCCAGCTCTGGGAGAAGGACCAGCTGAACATTGCCAAGAGCACCTGGCTTGTCCTCAGCGGCTTTCAGGAGGAACCCCTGAACTTCCCACCCACCTTCAAGTTCGATGTGGGCACCAACAAGTATGACAGCAGTGCCAAGAAGTGAAAACCTGCCTGGACTGACTGCATCCTCTGGAAGATCAAATCTCCCAGTGTTGGGCTTGGTGGGGCAGGCGCCGGCCCAGCCGGGGCATCCTGTCAGTGAGCCAGCTCTATATATTTATTTTTTTTAATAAAATAAAATTAAAAAAAACCCCAAAGAAAACAAAAAACAGGGAACTACAAGCCTGTCAGCCTGACCTCAGTGCCGGGGAAGATTATGGAGCAGTTCATCTTGAGGGGCACTCACAAGGCATGTGCGGGACAACCAGGGGATCAGGCCCAGCCAGCACGGGTTCATGAGAGG